CAGGCCCCCCCCCCCCCCCCCCCTCACTTTCTCATTGTGTCATCCACACACAAGTAGATAAAAGACAATGAATTAATTATTACCTCATTTCCCAAGCTAGTGGCCCTCCCACTTTTCCCTTGTGCCATCAGTCCTTCATGTCAGTACTCATAAATACAGTACGCCATAGCTAAGATTACGCAATGTCACCCGGGGCTATGTATACCATTGCTAATAATATGCAAGGTCACCCAGGGCTATGGACGCCATACCTAATAATATGCAAGGTCACCTACGACTGTGATCAGAATGTACAGGCCTATGCTCTGTTCACATGCTACTGTACTGATATTAAAATGATAATATATTTTAATAATAATAGTGTTTATTATTAAGCTGTGTCTGCTGTCTGTCATAGTTAATAATGTTAATGTTGGTGCATACCATTATTGCACCTTCCACACTACAGATACATCATCTTAAAATAATCTATTACTTTTTAAATTACGTTACATTGATTAGAGATTATGATGTACTTCTCGTTACTCCGACAACGATAAATGCAATAAAGAGTTCAATGCATGGTGATAGTTTATTTCTCATTATGTTTTTTTTATGGAAGAAATGGTAATCAGTGGAATAATATATTACGTTATAAACATTATTAGGAAAGTAAGTTTACTATTGTTAAAAAAAAACTTTTGACAATGGGTCGCACACTTATTCCAGCCCTGGTTATATTTTCCCCAACCATCTTTAGTCCCTTCACCAAGTCTGTAAATTATGCAATTTAGTATTATTAACAATATGTTTTTAATAAATTTTTTTTCAACAGTTAAGTATCTGTTAGAAAACGGTCTGGATCCAAACTTGGGAAATGAAGATGGATTGACAGCTTTACACCAGGTAAGAATACAATGATAAGTGACATTGACAACTCTTTAAAGCTTGGTTCTCACGAGAGCCCTAGTATCCCGATCGGGAGCTAACCGTTAGCACCTGCGTGAGAACGCCCGATCGGTTAGCGCTAACCGTTAGCAAGTTGAGCTATTGTTGAGATATTTTTGGTATCTGGATCGGGATTTTCTCGATGGACGCACTGCAGCTAACGGTTAGTAGGATGCGAATCCTGCTAACCGTTAGCAGCCGTGTGAGAACATAGCCTCTATGTCTTGGTTTTTGAAGCCTGGTTTCCATAAAATTGCTACTCTCTACAGTGTTTTCAGTGCAATTGTTGTACTGTGTAACAGTCCCAATCAGGAAGGCTCTTCCACATAGGCTTAGCCAGCGAGCCGTCCAGCCGTCTTTTGGACGGCCTACAATTATTTACTTTTTCCGAGACGGCTTGAACGGCTTGGCATAATCAGCTCGGCCTATCCTAATTGTGTCTGCTTAGCTTAATATGTTAATGGTTAGGATAGTAATTATAAAATTGAAACATTCATTACATTAAAGTTTCTACTAACATATTTCATCTGTGAACAAATTCAAAAATTAAAGATTATAGTAAATTGCTGTAAAGATGTCAAGTATTAAGATATATGAACATTCATCAAAATTTAAGAGATTCACAGAATCCGAGATGACACTCAAATTGATTGAAATCAAATAAACTTTGTATAAAGTATTTTTGTCACAATAAATGCATTGCTTAGATCTCATACTGTACAACCTCTTAAAATAATGTCCATAAAATATTATCTGTGAAACTTAAAATTTATTAAGCATACTGTCTGAACAGCTTTCCTATTTATGGAATATAGTAAGTAAAAATCGAGAAATGTAGAAGGAATATTTTTTCTTGGCACATTTACTGAGAGTATTATCATAAAGTTAGTTATTTGAAAGATACTAGGCTACAGTACACACTCAAGGTATGATGTGTTTGTGAAGCTACCAAGCTACAATACACCTCAAGATGTGATATGTTATAAAACATTGTCTGCAACAAACATAATTCAATTAGTTTTTAAAGTTCTCTGCTCTACTGTATTAGATAAGTTTGTAGAAGCGGTTTGGAGCAGCGTGAAAGGTTTGGTTTCCTAACCTTGAGGTCGGAGTTTCAATCCCTCGCTGTGCATTTCGCTTGTGTCCTTAAACAAGACACTTTATCTACATTGCTTCTCTCCACCCAGGAGTATAAATGGGTACCTGGTGGGGTTGCTTGCTCCTGCGCTGAATACAGCAGCAACACTTAAGCATATGGAGCCAATGACCAGGGACAGAAGCGCTTCGTATCTGCAAAGAAAGGCGCTATATAAATATATATGAATATATATATATGAGTATAAAAGCTATTGAAAATGTGTTAATACTGATACAAAATACTATAATTATTTGTCATTATATTTAATGTTTAATCTTTTGATCGATACATTTTATTTAGTTACCATAGTCTTTTCTTCCAGATTCGTAATTATGTAAGTTATAAATAATACATTCAGACATTAGTCATGGACATCATACTCGAGAGAGAACTTGCTTACTGTAGTCTGAAGTTCCAATATATTTTTCCAGATTTAGACGATAAAAGAAAAACAAAATGACGCACCTCCATAGCTAAATCACTGCGCACAAATTTGTTATTCAAGTTCACAGAAATATATGTCATGATGATTTTCTGTTAATAAACGATAACCTTTCACAATGAATTCATAAGTAGGAGTTTATAGATGCATAATAGCATGCAAACACATTGAACTTGCACGGTATTGTATATAACTGTGTAAAGGAATACATGAGTGGTGGTAGTCTTAAGTGAATGCATCATTGAGTTTATAGTGGTATTTTCACTTGTAATATTGATTTAGCTCCAGTATGATATTTAATTGTCTTTGTACTCTACGGTTATGTTAGCGTCTTGATTGTTGAGTATTATATATGTTTTTACTTACTCTTTTTTCTCTCGAGTCGCTCATAAGTTGAGACTACATTCATGCTTTTATGTTGATGGTGCTTAAAGATACCTAAACCAAACAAACATTTTCAAGTGTTCAACAGATCCAGACTTTCAAATTAAAGTAATATAAAAACTATTCTTTACATTAATCCATGATGATATAATCTTTTAATCCTACAGATAAATTTCTTTTGCTATTTGCCAAGAATTACAACATAACTTATATTAAATTAATAAAAATCAGAAAAGCTACACAGTGAAATGGATCTGTTTTCTCCAAGTATAGTCTAAATAAACTTACAGTGCATTACACATTACAATGCTTAACCTGAGGACCAAAGAAAACATAGGTTGTATAATTATATTGTAATATAAAATGAGTTATTTGCAAGGTAACATTATCTGATATTTATATATTGTGTCTACCCTTGGAAATAATACCGTACATTGTCAACTCTCATTGATCATATATACTACTTGAAAAATGAGGTCTTCAAATAAACACTTTCTCAATGTGCTAAGATAGAAACTCCATTCCATTTGTTCGCTGATCATTTTCCATCGCTGTACCTCAATTATGGAATTCTCTTATGGAGTTGTCGATGGAACCCCTGTAAGACGGGGGTTCCATCAAAACAAACGTAAACGACTGTCATCGGAAAAAATTGTAATTTGTTAGTCCCACCTTAAGCCTCTGTAAAATTTGCAGATTTTGCTTATTTTGTAGTTTAAAACACAGTTTTTAATATCCTGTACATGATAAAATCGCTCGCCTTTCTCAAGACCCTAACTGGAGCTTTATAGGCTGGCCACATTATGGTGCCACCGCTGTAGGGATTCATTCACCTCCACCTATCCATGTTCATGTTGAAGTAAATATTATCTTTGTTTCAACTTTAACAGGAAATTATGTGCTTTTCACAGTAAGTCTGTACAGTGAAACATACAAACTACATTTAGATTTATGTTCCATACGCCTACACTTACTTTTACAATGAGGATGTGTGTCTCAGTGACAGCATGATGGCCAAGCTGCCTATAAAATAATGTAGAGTAATGCATTTCATTACATGTTGCATAATGTGAATCTCTCAAACATGCATTCTTTGAATGCATGTCTTAATCGCAGTAGTGCACCCACAGACAACAGACAGAAAATTACAGAGAAAAAGGAAAACAGTGATTATCCTAGCTTTATATGACAGGAAATATGGGAGTACAAGAATGAATAACATGGCTATATATATGTAATAGGAATCATAGGAATCGATTAAAAAAATGGAAAAGGAATTACAATTTTCAATCTAAATTGTTGCTTTTCACCTTGCCTAGCTGTAAGTGCACCAGTACATTATTAGTACAAGCATGTAAATAAAAAATGAATATAGCAATATTTTACAAGAATAAGAGAGGCTACATGAATGAAATAGGAATCGTTAGAAATGAGAAAAACAATCACTGGTTTTATGATTATTCAGACTGTGGGCGGAAGCGTTCTTATTTAAATACAGCAGGGGTCTGCACTACAAGTAAGCCCTATGTCACACTAATTTTGTCTTAGTTAATATAGTAGTTTATACCTTCAGTTAAGTTGAAGGTTAAATGATATGATATGATTATGCTTGTTTTAATGGGTATTTATCACCTGGCTATGGGATAGTAGCTGCAGCATGGTACTATAATATGGAAGGCCATCAAAACAAAGATTGTTAGTTGCTAGCTTGTAGCCTGTAGTAAGGATACAGGAATATCCTTCAGGCCATTATCAATTGTCACTTCACACTGAAGTCTGGTTTATCCTTCATCTTATAGACTTTGTACCAAAGTATTTTAAAGGATTATTCTACAAGTAGTCCTCTAGGCCATTACATTTTTTTGCCAGTCCAACTTGAATTCTGCAAGTTTGACAATGAAATATACAAAATATTATTAGTCAATGAATCATGATTTAAGAAAGGCACTTACTATATAATTTAAATTAAAAAAATTCAAGTAAGGGGCTAGTTAATAAAAAAATCAATATTTAAAATATTTTGTTTTCATGGTATGGTCTAAATATTATTTGAGGAATGCCAAATTATCTTATACCAACCATTCCCCAGGCCATTGCATCTTTTCGCTAGTCCAGCCTGGATTTAGGCTTGACCTTGGTGATGTCATCTGATTAACCTTACCATTCCCATAGTGTGCTTGTACTGGGTAATGGTTATTGATTATTGTCGGGCTCACCAGTTAGATCTAACCCATCAGATCAATTTTACATTGTAACAGAATCGTGTTAGGACACATGTTTACCAACAGGAACTGTTTTTGATTGTTTGTGTTTTTTTGTGTTTAATGTCTGTTTATACAGTAGCTTAGAGGTCATCTGATCAATTTTCATTAGTAAACTTATAACTGGAAAAAAGGGAGAACAGTAGGGAGAAGTCGTGAGGAGAGAATGTTTGTATGCTTTAATGAAAAAGAAAATGTTAGTCTATAAATGAGGATATGTCTGAAAACAGAAAAACAGACTGAAGTATTATTCAATGTCATAATAAATTATTTTAATTAATTCTTGTATCTTTGTGTTAAGGATATATATATTAATGTGTGTTTGTAATTGTCTTACAAAACTATGGCACTTTATATTGACATTAGAAATTTGTTTTATTTATTAGACTGGCTACTTGTTTTGGTTTCAGTTAACTTGCTAGAATTAGTCACTTCAGTAGTATGCAAAAGATAATGCAACCATCATTGAATGTGCTTTTATTTTTTTTAATGTGACAGCCACCAAAAACATCAGCTTTTAATATCCAGAAGGATAAACTTTGAATTGCTTGTTTAAAAGAAAAATTTTAACTGTCAAAATTAATAAAAATTATATTGTATTTTAATTACAAAAATTTAATTTTCTAGCAGAAGTCCAACAGCATGCAAAGAATACAGTATACTGTAGAAATATTTATGAATATTTATATGGTGATTAATTTTTGAGGAAATGTATTTCTCTCTCTTTCTCATT